CTATGTAGACACTTCAAAACTGAGACGCAGGCCAGTCGAGAGTAGTGCATGAGAGATCTAAAAGGAAAGATTAAGAGAGGGAGGGGAAGGAGGGAGGGAGGGAGGGAAGTGAAGCAGGAGATGAAAAAAGAGAGAGGAGGGAGGAGGGAAAATAGGATGGAGGGAGAGAGAGAATAAGAGGAGAGGGAGAGAGAAGGGAGAGAGAGGAGGAGGGAGAGGAGGAGGGAGAGGAGGAGGGAGAGGAGGAGGGAGAGGAGGAGGGAGAGGAGGAGGGAGGGAGGCAGGGAGGGAGGGAGGCTGACTTGTTTTCAGGATCAAGTTTTCGCTTCAGCGTTGCAGTGACCTTCTTTACAGCAAGCTCGTTCGGCGCCTTCGAATCGTCTCAGTAGATGGAGCAGGAGGAGCAGGAGAAATAGGGAGGGAGAGAAGGAGGGAGGGGAGAGCAGGAGCAGGAGCAGGAGCAGGAGCAGGAGCAGGAGCAGGAGCAGGAGCAGGAGCAGGAGCAGCAACAGCAGGGTGCGATGGAGGGGAGGGGGGGGAGGGGGAGGGGGAGGGAGGGGCGGGCGGTCACCAGGCCAGCGTTTAGGAGATGACAGAGAATGAAACACGCCTTGGCAGGTATCATATCCTGTGACAAGTCACATCAAACAATGGAAGAATGTTTCAACTCTCCGGCCCTCCTTCGCTGTTTTCCTTCTTCCCCCTTCTCTTCTACTAGTGTTCCTCCTCCTCTATTCTCTCTTTGACGCTCGACTCCCGCACTACTTTTCCCTGCCCTCCTCCATGCCCTCCCCTCCCACTTCCTCTACTCTCCTTCCCCCTCTTCCCCCATCCTTGGTCCTCTTTGTCCATCTCCTCTCCTCCTTCTCCTCCTTCTCCTTCTCCTTCTCCTCCTCCTCCTCCTCCTCCTCCTCCTCCTCCTCCTCCTCCTCGTCCTCCGGATCTTCACGTCTCCCGCCTCACCGCCAGCAGACCTCATCCCCCGCTCCCCGCCCATTTTTCTGGCCTCCCGATATGCTTCTAGCAAGGCCACGAGACCTCTCGAGCACGTTGGACATGACGATGTATGGTTGGAATTTGGTGTGGAGGAAGCAGCTGAAAGCAAATCGCAAGTCTCCTCCACCTATGACCTAGCAGTATCAGGACACAAGTAGAGGACGTCCAGATTCTTACTCGCAGCATGTCGTCCAGCACGATGAGAACGTAGAAGACTGCCTTCTGCTCGACGATGTTCCTGCCTATCCCGTCAACAGAAAGGAAGAGGGGGGAAGGGAGGCAGGAGAAAGAAGGTGCAGGAGGATAAGGAGGAGGAGAAGCAACAGGAGCAGGAGAAAAGAGGAGGAAGAAACGGAGGAGGAGGAGGAGGAGGAGCAGCAGCAGCAGCAGCAGCAGATAGCAGAAACAGGAGCAGGAGGAGCAGGGAGATAAGATAGCAGGAGCAACAGCAGAAGGAGCATCACTTCAACACGCCGAGAGCTGCTTCGCTGAACGCCTGCGGGTCCTGACTGGCAAAAGCTGCCTGAAGAGGTCGGATCAGCTTGGTTGCTCCTCCACCCCCTCAGCTTGCCTGGGTATGTAGTGGCTCCCGCCCGAACCGCGTCAAGAGAAGGCTGCTTCTGAAAGAGAAGTCAGAACGCATGCAAGAGCATATGATTATGATGAGGAGGAGGCGGAGGAGGAGGAGGCGGCTAAGGAGGAGGAGGAGGCGGAGTTCAAGAAGGAGGAGGACCAGGAAGAGGAGCAGGAGGAAGAGGAGGAGGAGGAGTACTTCTCTGTGAGTAGCTTGTTCTGAAAGTAGGTCGACCAGTTGATAAACTGCTCGCGCGGTCAGCCAGCATTCCAACACGGGGTCGCCGCACACCTGGTGGTTGGGCAGGTCCTTGTAGTTCCTGCAGATGCTCGTTAGCGCGGCAGAGATCGCCATGAGCATGCTCGAACCTCTTGTCCCTGAGCTTGAGAGACCTCCAGTCCACCTGCAAGGAGCGTCAGGGCAGCCAACGGTCAGAGCAGTAGGGGACTTGTAATGCGGAGTAGACATCATCGTGTATTGTACTTCCGTTCTCCTGTAACACAGTCACTTCCATGCCCTTCACTTTGCTTTCACTCGGCGGATGCTGTATTTGTTGTTCATGTAGCATTCAGCCTCACCTGTGGTTGTTCGCTGGCCTTTGGCGGGTCGTGTGAGATGTCTGATTCGACTGAGAGGAGGCAGTTTACAAAACTTACAACGAGGACTTTTCGGTGATGGTTGTGCGCAAAGAGTTTGTTGATGTTGTCATGAGGCAAGATATTGTAATACATCAATCGATGAGGAGTCTAACTGATTATTGCAATCCACGTTTGAACGAGCTGTTGAAAACCTCTTCACACTGTTTGATATAATTTCTACTCAACCTTCGCCCTCCTCCTCCTCGTTCTTTCGAGCTGTCCCTTCCTCTCCCTCACTGTCAACCTGTTCATGTATCCTCTAGCTTCATCCTCTGCCATCTGCCATCCTCTGCCCACTCCCTCCATCCCTCCTCTCCTCTCGCGCGCTTACCTTTGGTATGCGCCATGATAATAATTGCCGAGGGTCTGATCGGCATCTAAATATTGATTCTAATTTTAGTACCACACTGAAATACACCGGTACTTTCCACTGATAAAATACCCCCTCTTTAACCAAGGAAATAATTGAAAACACTCCTTTTCAGCAACTTCCCTGGATTTTTTTTGTTTTACATGGTACGAGCGACTACGACCAATGACCACCCCACCCCCATATGTAAGGCCTTCAGATGACCTCTTGGTCACCCCCCTTTTACCCAATATATCATAGGGGAAAGTACGGGGTATACCATGGCCGTACCCCGTACTCCATTGCAACAGGTTTCAGTTAACATCTGCCGAGGAGGCAACTTTCAAGTTGAAGGCTAGGCCCTCACTGAGTCAGTTGAGTCCCGCCCGCCGTGTCCGGTCCGATCAGTCGGACGCGGCCGGGCCGCAAGTCCCGGACCGGACCGTACGGTACGGTACGGTACTGCCACGGTCCGGGACCGGTGCCGCCGCACTGCCCGGCCGCCGCCGCCGCCCGGCCACGGCGAGCAGTGGTGACTGCCAGAGCACGGTGAGGCTCGGGGGCCCCAGCCCGGCTCTGCAGTACGGGCACTGCGGCCGGCCCTCAGGGGCGGCCTAGGAAGTGAGTGACTGAGGGCCGCGGGCCGGGGCTTTCCGGCCGCATTTCCGAAGTCGGGCCGCCGCGGCTGCCACGGTGCACCGTGGCTGCGCGGCCGCCGCAACCGTTTACTGAGACGGTTACTCCGAGGCTGTGACAGCGGGGTTAATTGGTCACCAACTTCAAGTTTGAATCGCCGGAGTCGGTAAATGCCGCCCGGGCCTCACTGAGCCGCGGAGTAACTTACCGTACCGGGCTGCCCGGCCGCCTGGGCCCGGCCCGGCCGGGCCCAGGCGGCCGGCGGGCCGGGCGGCGGCCGGGCGGACCCACTGGCCTGCAGACTGCACTGTAGGTGACCGGGTAAATAAAAAAAACAATTTTTGAGACTAAAATTGCTCCCTTGCGAATGCAGCGGGGCACCTGGCAAGCTCCTACTCAAGACATGGCGAGGTGTGCTAGGAGGGGAGTGTTGATGCAGAGAAGAGAAGGACGAAGACAAGATGAAGATACGATGAGAAGGAGAGGAGGAGGACTTGACGACTACGTCAGGAGGAGGGGGAGGAGGAGGAATAGTTTGAGGTGTGATGCTGGCCGGGGGATGTTGGAAGAGGACAGAAGAAGAAGGAACTAGATTCGTGTTCGATGTGTAAGAATGGGCTTCAGAGTGTTGATGGAATCGCAAACACTTCAACGGCCTCTTATTGTTACGATCTTACTGTATGCTTCTCTCAGCAGACGTTGGGGGGCTGGTAGCTACATCGAGCAGAAGGTTCTACTGACGAAGATGTGATGTGATTCATCCGAGGGCACCCCTTGAGCTATGGACATTGAATCTCCACCAGAGGACAACTCTGATGCCCCTCAAGACCCGATGAGATCGCTGGATGCCGAGCTTAGAGAACACTTCAAGTTGTTGTACATGCTCGAGCCTGGTGATCATCTCAACTCCAAGCTTGGTCTGCAAGACCTGTACAGGACGAGCCTCCTGACTGCTGTTTTCTGCCGTGAACCTCTCACTGCGTTGTATACACACTCTGCGTTTCAAATGATTTCTGTCATTGCCGGAAGCTACCTCGTCATCCGAGCGTACCTGCGATCCTCGCAGTACCGCGATGATCAACATCGGATGGTGAAGGTCGACACGGTCTTGATCCAGACTCCTTACCAGAGGAACCCAACATGGATCGACTTCAGCTTGGCAAGCTGTGCCTGGGAGGAGAACCTGCATCTCGTACTTGAGCTCGTACAGGGATTCGCAATCATCTTGTCCTCATTGTTCGCTCACTTCTGCATTACAAGAGCGCCGAGAAAGGTGAATGATGGAAACTCTACTCCTCCCTCTCCTTTCTGCTATTCCTCCTCCCTTCTCTCCCCCCCCCCCCCCCCGGCCTCCCTCTTCGTTCTCCTCTTACTCAATCCTCTCCTCCTGCGCCGCTCCTCCTCCTCCTCCTCCTCCTCCTCCTTTCATTTGTGTTCCCTTGACACCATGTTTGTTTTAGATCTTCGCGTTGGCTGGTTTGATTGTTGGACTTGGAAATCTGGTCCTATTCATCGGGTCCGACGGAAGTTCTGCATACGTGGTGGCATACGAGTGCTTGACGACATTCTTTGTGGTGAGTGAAACTTTGTTTGAGCTTCAGATGACTTCTAACCCAATGATGCAGTCCATCTTTGTATTTCCTTGTCCCATTCTCTTCATGGAAACTTTTGTGCTTGAGCTGATAGCGGCATCACTAAGTATCAGGATGATTGCTGATGGTGTGAACAAGTCTATCAAAGTAGAAGTGCTGGTTGCCTTCGTCTTGTTCAGCCTGGCGTTGCTCCTGAAGGTTGCCCAGAAAGCCAAGGCATCACAAGCAATGAAAGAAGACGCTGTCAAGTTTGACTCTGCATGGAGAGCGATGATGGAGACGTCAGCATCGCAATCTTTCCTTGAAGACACTGACAGGATCTTGAAAGACTTCTTCGCGCTGTACCCGACCAAGTCGCTTCCCAACTGCAAGCATACCTTCATGATGCCAGAGTCTCTGGTGAAAGAGCCCTCGGCGGGCAAAGTGAGCCAGGCGACCTCGAGGAGCTCTAGAGTGCTTCCGATGGACAGCATGATCTCCCTGCCTATCAGCACCTTCACAGACTCTACTCCCTCCTTCCCTGTCCTCAACTTGGATCAACTTTACGCGAGGTCAGTCGTTGTGCTGCCGATGTTCTTGCGCAAAGTCGTGGCAGTAGGGAGAGATTGGAGAGGACACTGTTGCTACCAGCTTCCGGGGACGAGTGAGAAGCAGTACATGTTGTACAAGGACTTGGAATCGTCTCCTGAGGTGCTTCGAAGTGTTTACTTGTCGAGCATCAAGAACGTCCAACGGTCGGTGAAGAAGACCTTGACTTTCCTGCATGGCGACGTGTCGCAGTTGACCGACATTGTGAGACAGAGCATCCTCTTCGACAACTTGCAAGATCTCAATGGAGCTCTACAGCAACTCATCGACGACGGCGAGATTGAGGTCGTCTTCATCAGAAACCGACTGAGCGGCGGCGGCGGCCAGCGGGATATTACAATCAACATCTGCTTCACCCACGACTTGGCGGTCAGGACCAACCTGCTGGGCCACGTCTGTGAACTTCGCCTCGGCCTCAAAGAGATCCACTCCAACATATCCCCAGCAGACCACGAGCTGTTCCTCGAGAGGAAGCTAGTGCTGCAGACGCGCAGGATAGAGCGAGGGAGGGGGAACAGCTCGCTGGTGATGATGCGGCAGGGGAGAAAGTTGCTGCTCGCTTTCTCCTCCTTCCTTCGGATGAAGATGCGCAACGAGAGCTCAGGCGCAGACGCCGTGGCACCGGGCCAGCTCCTCATGACAGTCAAGGGGATGATGCCGGGGGGGCTGCTGGACTTTATGATCCACTCGGCGGAGGCCGGGGTGGAGGAGGCGGAGACTGCGAGTGTTATGTTTTCATCCCGCCCAGTGACCAATGTGATTCGAAAGCGTCTGTTTCAGATGATCCTTGTGGTGCTTGGGGTTGCGATGATAGCGAGTTGGATGCTCAACGACAGCATTCCCATCAGGATGCTCTGGAGGGATCGGCAATACGATGTCTTCCACGCTCGTATCACTGTGTTGCAAGTCAGGTCTCCCGATGCTGAGACAGCGTCCTTGGGTAGAGTGAGTTTCTTCAAGGACTGTCAACGGTTCACTCCAACCTTGGTGGCGTCAAATGGAACTCGATTCTTCTTCACCTTCAGCAGCCAAGTGGTTGTGAATGGATGGGAGTTCTACACAGATTCAGCAGAATCCTCCTTCGATCATGATCCGATGTCTCTGGAGATGCACGTGAGCGATCAGATCGTGAAGCTAGATCCGACTGATCTCACTGAATCTCAGTGGAGGTTGATTACCAAGTTCGATTGTGCTCTCAGTGCCAAGACCGAGCTCTGCCGATCTTCGGTCGCCAACGTCACTGCAACGCGGGGTCAACGGTACTACTTCGATCTGAGGGACTCATGGCAGACGGTAGGGGAGATAATCAACATGGGGCTACGACTCTTGGCAACCTTCGGAACTGCTGCGCTGGCTAGCATGGGCTTCATCTTTCTGGGAAAGACAACCTTGGCAAGCTCCTTCCATGGAGCAGGAGTCATAGACATAGTAATCGCTGCCTTCACTCCCCTTGACGCACTCGGCTTCCTTCAGTCGATCCTCTGGGGGCTCTTGGAGCTGGTCTACGGGCTGATCGTACAGTTCAGGGAGGAGCATACTATCTCCTTCATGCCCGTGTACTGCCTGTGCGGGTCCGCCATGAACCTGCTGATGACAAACTTGAGGCAAGCTCGCTTCAGCCTCACCCCCAACACCCTCAGGTTGGACTTGACCTTCCCCTTCTACGCCTGGGCCCTCTTCTACCTCTGGCGCCAGTACCTTCTCTTCAAGTCCTTCAGCAAGATCCGGGCAGACCTCGCACAGTACCAGCAGCTCTGGCAGCAGCTGGAGAGAGACGCTGCCGCCTTAGCTGAGCTCGGCGACTCGCTCGCCAAGATTGACCTGCAGCCTCCAGCAGCTCAATGCCTCTCTCGCGCCTCCGCTGCCGCAACTTTGCCCAGCACGCCGATAGGGCTTGAGAGCAGCAACAAGAGTAGAGAGGAGAGGACAAGCCTGATGCGACGAATATCGGGAAGAGCAGGGATGATGTCGCGAGCACAGGCCATCCCTCGGCAGCTGAGAGTGGGCTCGCTCGAGCAGCTGTACGCTCAAGCTCTCGTCATCCTGCCCGCCTTCTTCGACAAGATCAAGGAGCTCGGGTCGAGATGCGACTGCCTGTTTCTGCTGGAGGAGGAGGCGGAGGGAGGGCCGCGCTACGTGTCTTGGGCTGAGACCGAGGAGGATCCCTTGCTGAAGTCGCTCATCCGACGACCAGCCCTCAAGGCCGCCACCCGATCCATCGCCAAGGTCCTTCGATCGTACAAGGGCGACGCGTCGCGGCTGACCGACATCGTGCGGTATGCTCTCGTGTTCGAGGACCTGGGAAAGCTCAGGAGGGCTGTGGAGGTGGCGAGGGAGGACCCGGAGATTCTGATTGCTAGGATGAAGAACCGGTTTGACCCCTCCTACAACTCGATGAAGACAGGTGGGTATCGCGACATCTGCTTGAACATTCGCATCAGCAACGACTACACGCGCAGGAACTTGGTCGACTCACACATCTGCGAGCTGCAGCTGGTGCTCAAGAGCTTCATGGAGCTGAGAACTGACAAGGGACACAAGAACTACCGCGTGTTCCGCGACCAGCGATGCGAGTAGATGAAGTCATCCTGCTGAGATAGCTCCTTCTCTGTACAGTATAATGAATAACTTGATAGCTTTTTACTCTGTGCTGCACTACGGTAGCTAACCATTCTTTCAGTCACGGTGCTCACTTGGGCCCCTGCAGACTCTAAGGTGCAAAACCGTACCTGTCGGGAAGAGACTGGCACAGTCATACTAGTAGCCTGTCACTGTCTACCCTGACTCAAAGTTTCAAGTGACTGTGAGGGTTTTGTTTTGACTCACTGTCACAGTGACTCAGCCACGGTCACTGACTGGCAGTGTATTGAAACTTGGTCCAGTGGACGTGACTCAGTCGGACCGTGACGACCGTCACCGCCGCGCACGGACGGTTCCGGGCGGCCGAGTACCGTCGTGCGGCCCTCGCCGCCCTCCGACGGGGGCCCGCCCCTCGGGCCCGGAGTCCGGCGGGCCGGCGGCCGCCCGGGCCGCCCCCCGCGCCGGCCGGCCGCGGCGTCGGACTCCCGGAGGTCCCGCGACGCGGGGGCCCGGCGGAAGTTACTGTGACGGGGCCGACCGTAGGCCCCCCCGGCCCGGCCGCCGCCGCGGGGCGCCCTGTGCCAGGCCGCTCAGCGGCGGCGGGAGTCACGGTGCCACGGTGGGCCCGGGCGCCCGAGTCGAGTCCGAGTCCGTCGGAGGCGGCTCGCGGAGTCGGGTCACCGGGTCACTGAGATCATGCCGGGCCGGCGGCGGCCGGCCCCCGGTGCCATCATTGCCGGTCCGACCGGGTGACTCTGTGATCATCCGAGTCGGCACTACTAGAAGTTCATCAGTGTGCTGTCATACGTTAACTTTGTCAGTTAACTTATTAAGACGGTGGTGAAGTTTGACAGTCCGGGGCTGCCGCAGTGCCTCAGCCGATCAGTTAACCGGTCATTAGTACCGGTACTGCCAGTACCGGTACTAATGATTGACCGGGTCAATGGTCAAACCTGCTGCTGGAAGACGGTGGGGTGGGGTAGAGCCCGACCGCGTCCACTGGCCCCCAGCAGAGGGTCACGTGGTGCCGGAGAGGGGTGGGGTGGTACCCCGACCTTACGAGGGGCGGCTTGGCACGGTGGGTCCATGGGGTCAGACAGGGGGGTATAGGGGGCCGGGGGGGAGGTGTGATAGGGGTAGGCGATCAGGTGAACAAACCAGCATGAGAGCTGTGGCAATGGCAGGAAGAGTTGAAGCCCCAGCGCTGATCACGCTGCTTGTGATCGGGGGATGGACAATGCAGACACATTGCGCAGATTACTTCATCTGCGGGGGCTGCTCCTTCACTGTATCAGATGAAGGTCTGCTTCAAAGGACGGGAAGCTGCTCGTTGGGTGCCGCTGGGGCTAACTGTATGTTGATGTATGCTGGGATTGTTGACATTGAAGAAGGAACTTTCGATGGACTTCATGACATGACTTATCTGGACCTTTCACAGAACCAGCTGACAAACATTCCAGGAGGATTGTTCGATGGTCTGAGTGGTCTACAATATCTTTCGCTCTCCTACAATCAGTTGTCAAGCATAGCACCGGATGCATTTTCAAACTGCACTCAGCTGTCTTATGTCGACGTTAGTTTCAATCAGCTGACGTGTTATTATGCTTCTTGGCCACTAGAAATTATGTCATTAGATACGATTGCAGCAGGAAAGTTGTGCCAGAATATGACCACCAACCTGACCGGGAATGTGACCACCAACCTGATCGCATGCTATCCGCATATCAGTGTTGAGTTGGATTCGGCAAACCTCCCATCGGACATGGCAGGGCAATACTGTGAGGCCTTTGACTGCAAAAGGGATGAAGGAGGTTCCTGGTTTGGCGGAGTTGATTACGCGCACTGCTTTCGCAAGAACGACGACAAAACCTGGAAAATATGGAACACGGGGTGTGGGTGGGAGATAGGACAGTATATCAGTGTTAATGCCCCGTCTCCTGGAATTTCATGGCAGCGGTATGCTCGTACCTACAGCGGATACTGCCACCCAATCCCCCCCTCACAGCTAGACATTCGTGCTCTTGTCAACACTTCGACCTTTTACGACTCACTCGGAAATATGCTTGTTGGCGTTCACTCAGTCCTGGTGTTATCCCCTCACAATTCCAGCGCTGATGCCGTCAGTGCTGTGGAGGACACAACTGATACCTTCAACGCGTCCAGTGCTGTCAATTCCAGCTCTGCAGACAGTTCCCCGCTCCCGTTGGTCGATACTGCTTTGCTATCCTTCCCGGAGTGTGTTGAGCGAAGGGACTGGGGAGCGATGCTGGAGCTGATGAACAACGGAACAGCGGCAACGGGAGGGCTGGGGCTGTTGATGGAGCCTCCTCTGGAATCCTGGATTTGCATCCAAGAGCACCCTTGCCTCCAGAGGGTCGCTGACGCCCAGCCAAGCGATATGATGTGCTTCGTGTACCACGAGGTCGATCGAGTCTTCCTGCCATGGTGAGGACCTATCAATGGCCGTTGGCTTCCGACTGAGACTCGCAGCGCTGACTGTTTCCTCTGCAGGAGCATCAATTCTCTTCTGAAGCTCGTGATGCCTTGAAGCCGCCGGCCACTTGCTAAGGCTGCCACTGTCCGGACCAGCTGCAGCCTGAGAGCCTCTTCGACGGCAGCCCGCCTCGGTGGTGTTGGTCTGGCACTGAGACGGACTCTGAGTAGGCTGATTCAACTTGCGCCTGATCGCCGACTCCGGCGAGCCGTCGTCGGGTGTCTGTCACGGAACATCGCGGGGATCTGATGCGGCATACCTTTTAACCGTAACTTTGAATGGTTCAACTAGCGGCATCATTTGGCCCCCAGTAACTTGCGTTGAGTCACAAGTTCAAGCAACCGCCCCGCACTGGCCCGCGGCCGGGAGTGGCCGCGCCCTGACTCGGACCGTCCGGGCCGGGGGGGCGGCGCGGGCCGCCCGGCCGGGCCCGGCCCCCGGCCGGCCCCCGCCTCAGCGGCACTGCGGCACAGCCTCACGGTGTCCGGCCGGCGACTGGCACTGGGCCCGAACTGCCCCAGACCCGGTGACCCGAACCGGCCCCCGGGCCTGCGAACCGGCACCGTGACCGCGGCCCGCTCGCGCGGGGATGAGGGGATTAATGCTTCGGGGCAATGGTGGGATGAGGGCCTGGGAATTGGAATTGAGTAATAGTTGTGGTACTCTGACGTGGAACTCCAGCCGCTGCAGCCGCCGCATGCGCGCAATGGGCGATGGCAGGAGGGAGGAGGAGGGAGAGGCGTCGAACATGGCACTCCCCCTCCTCCTCCTCCTCTTCCTTCACATTGTTCGTCATAGCGTGATCGTGAAGTGAAGAACGAGGAGAGGGGATCTAAGGATAACTCGGCTGTGAATCCTCCAAACTTTTTCAGAGATTTTTGCTGAGGATGTAAACACTTGGAGGTTCTGTGGGACGAGAATCAACCATAATGAGTTATTATGCTCTTTGCAATTTGTCAAAGCCTTTGTTTGTGAAGCTCACCTGTGTCTGATTCCTTGATTGATATCCCTTTCCTCTGCCGTTGCTTCACGACCTGATCGGCATTGCTAGTTTGCTGAGTCTTTTTTCGTCTAGCGGCGATCCTCATGAGCTAGGATCGAGAACAGCTTGATTTGTCTTACAATGTTCCACTTCTGCCTTCTCTCCTTCTTCTGTGTTCACTCATGAACCAGCCCTTGTACCTCACTCTCCCTCTCCCCGCTCAGCTTTAGGCGTTTTTCTTCCTACTGTGCCTTTCCTCTCCATTTCTGACTTGCGCGTCTTTCTCAGGCGATGCAGCCACCGCCGCAGGGTAGCTTGAATTGGCAACAGCAGCCTCCCAGCCAGGGTCAGTCTTATCCACAAGGAGGAATGCCTCCCCCTCCCTCGCAGGGCATGCCTCCTCCTCAAGGCTACCCTGGTGGCAACCAGCCGGCTCCTCCTACAACCTACCAGCAGTCAGCACCCGGGGGAATGCCCCCACCCCAGCAGCCTGCCGGGCAAACCAGTGCCCCCCCGATGTACAACCCGATGACGACTGGCTCTTCACGTCAGTATCCTCAACCCATGCCTGGCCCGAGCCCAGCTCAAGGAACGGGGCACCCACCGCAACAGCAGCAGTTCCCTCCCCAGCAACAGCAGCAGCAGCAGTTCCCACCTCAAGCTGGTAGCCAGCCTCCAGCAGCTCCGCCTGCGGCACCCCAGTCTTCTTATCCCTCGCAATCCCCGTATCCTTCCTCTTCTCAAGCGCCTCCTCAGGCTGGGTTCCCTGGAGGACAACAAGGCGGGTATGGAGCTCCACCCTCGGCTCCTCCAGGGTTCCCTCCGATGCCGGCGGCAAGTCAAGGCCCTCCTTCCGGAGGTATGCCTCCTCCTCCTACGGGGGGTATGCCTCCTCCTACAGGAAGCATGGCTCCTCCTCCTACGGGAAGCATGGCTCCTCCTCCTACGGGAAGCATGGCTCCTCCTCCTACAGGAAGCATGGCTCCTCCTCCTACAGGAAGCATGGCTCCTCCTCCTACAGGAGGTATGCCCCCACCTATGGGAGGTATGCCTCCTCCTACAGGAGGTATGCCTCCTCCTACAGGAGGTATGGCTCCTCCTCCTATGGGAGGTATGGCTCCTCCTATGGGAGGTATGGCTCCTCCTACGGGAGGTATGGCTCCTCCTACGGGAGGTATGCCCCCACCCACGGGAAGCATGCCCCCACCTACTGGAGGCTATCCTACCGGAGGCTATCCTGGCAGCAGTGCTGTCCCTCAAGGTCCTTCACCGGACTCTTCCGCGGCGACTCATGCTGACTGAGTATCAGGCTTCGCAGACCCAGAAGGAGGCTCGTGGGACAGCCAAGGGTACGGAGCTCAGCCGAACCAGGGTGCTCAGGTCGGTGGACAGCTTTCCTCCTCTCCACCTCTCTTCTCTTCTCCTCTCCTCTCCTCTCCTCTCCTCTCCTCCTCTCCTCTCCTCTCCTCTCCTCCTTACCAAACTTGCCAGGCTCCTCAAGGAGGAACGAGGAACGCTATCCCAATGCCCCCAGGAGGGATGCCCGGTGGAATCCCACCAGGAGGAACAACAGGCCCGGGCGCTACCCCAGCACAGCCACAGGTGCAGTTCTTCAACCCAGCGGCCATCCCTTCGAAGAAAGCAGGGCCGGCCGGTAACCATCTTCCTTGACTCCTCTCCCGCTGAGGCAAGTGGCAGGTGCTGGAGCCCCAACGGAGCAGATGGCTGGCATGAGCATCGGCGGGCGCGGCCCAGCGCAAGCGTTCAACCTCGGGGAGATCCCGCAGTGCCCTCAGGATGGTGTCCGCACTGCTCAGTCGTACATCGAGGACCAAGTGGGACAGTCGAATCCGCGCTACATGCAGTGCTCCGTCGGAGGTGAGGAGAGCTGGCTGTGTTTCTGTCCTGACCTGTTGTCTCCGACCAGCCATCCCTGCATCCCAGGCGGTCGCCCAGAAGTTCTCGCTCCCGATGGCCGTCACCATCCACCCCCTCAACGACCCCCCTGTCGCCCCAGGCTACTCTGCCGTGCCCGTGGTAACCGCAGCTTCCTCCTCGTCTTGCCTGCACTTGTCTTGTCCTCTCGCTACTAGTCTTCCTGCCTTTCTCTTCCTCTTCCTTCCCACCTCTTTCAAGTTCTTACGCCCAAGTCTTGAAGGTGAACTTCGCAAATGCTGGGGTCGTTCGTTGCCGCCGATGCCGAACTTACATCAATCCGTTCGTGACGTGGCTGGACGCGGGAAGGAGGTGGCGGTGAGTAAACATCGCTTCCGAGGAATAGGAGGGGATGGGTGAGGGAAGGAGATTAGGGGAGGGGAAGGGTGGAGAAGGGAGAACAGGAGGAGAAAGGGTACGGACTGGGCGGTGGTTTGCAGGAGTTGGAGACGGCTTGTTGGGCAGATGAGGAGGGAAGAGGCAGCCAGCTAATGAGAGGACAGAGCGAGAGGAAAGAAAGGTCATGACGCAGATGCAGGTGCAACGTGTGTGGCCTGCTGAACGATGTGCCTGCGGACTACTACTGCAGCCTCGACTCATCAGGTGATGCAAAAGGCAGTGACTACCAGCGTCCCTGTTTGTTGTGCATGCGCTGCGCGGAGGGAACAAGAGGACGCTGGCCTTAGCTGAACGTTGATCCTCAGGCAAACGCCGAGACCATGCTGAGAGGCCTGAGCTCAACTTCGGGTCCGTGGAGTATGTCGCTCCTGCGGACTACATGGTACGTGTCTGTCGTATCGCTCCTTCCCTCCCATGCTAGCTCACTCGCTCGCTTGCTTTCTTGTAGTCGGCCTTATAATCCTGACCTCTTGACATACTTAGCTATCTCGAGTAGATCACCCCCCCCCCGCCCCCGCCCCTTATCATTCCCCTTTCACCTCCTTCCCAGCTCCTTTCCCAGCTCAGCTTTTTTTCCGTCTCGACAGGTTCGCCCTCCCCAGCCTCCCACTTACGTCTTCTGTATCGACGTATCTGCCCGGTAGCTCCTCAACCACAACGGAACTGACCTCCTTCCTTGCTCTTTCTTCCCTTCCTTTGTATTCTCCCTTCATCTTCTTCTTTCCCACTACTGCATCTTGACGTTCCCGCAACCCGCTAGTCTCCTTCTTGTCTTTCCTTTACCCTTCCTCCCTCTCTCCCTCCCTCCCTCTACCCTCCCTCCCTCCCTCTCCTCCTTCTCTTCCTCTTGTGACGAGCTCCTTTCTTTCTCTTGGCGCTCAGGTCTGTTCAATCTGGACTGCTCACAGAGGTTGCCAACACGATCCTCGCTAATCTCGACAAGCTTCCTGGAGGAAGCAGGACGCAGGTAAAGGATGAGGGCGGTGCAGGATTTAAGGGGGGAGGAGCATGAAGGAGTGAGGGAGTGAGGGAGTGAGGGAGTGAGGGAGTGAGGGAGTGAGGGAGTGAGGGAGTGAGGGAGTGAGGGAGTGAGGGAGTGAGGGAGTGAGGGAGTGAGGGAGAGCTTGGAGGGTGAAAGAGACCAATGCAGAATCAACGAAGTTAGAGGGATCAAGGAAAGAATGAGAGTAGGTGAAGGAGGAGGGAAGGTGGGAGGGGAGAGGAGGGAGGAGAGTGTGTGGTAATCGAACTCGGCAGATTGGGTTTGTCACGTTCGACTCGAGCTTTCACTTCTACTGCCTTAAGAGCTCCCTGCAAGAACCTCAGATGCTCTGCGTGGCTGGTCTGTCTCCTCCCCCTCCCCCTTCCTCCTCCCTACCTTCAAGGAGAATTCTTTGCGCTCTCTCCCAATTGTTCTCCCCACATCTCCCCTTCATCCGCGCCTACGTCCTCCCCTTCCCCCGTCTCCTTCCTCTTAACCCCCCCCCCCCCAATCCTGTGTCGCTGCCTTCATTTCTTCCTCTGATGTTTGTTTCAGACTTGGATGACCCCTTCCTCCCTCTTCCTTCTGAGTTGCTTGTCAACCTGGTGGACAGCAGGGAGCAGGTATATTTTACTCTCCTCCCTCCTCCTCCTTTTGGCTCCCCCCTTGGTTTTCTCTGTCCTCATCCCCTTCCTCTCCTCCTGCCTCAACCTCCTCCTTCACTTGGCACTCAAACCTCCCGCAGGTCGAGTCTCTCCTCCGCAAGCTCCCAAGCATGTTTAGCGCCACTGTCAACCCAGACTCTGCATTCTATCCTGCGTTGCAGGTGGGCAGGAGGACGAAGCGGAGGGAGAGAAGAAGAGAGGAAGAGGAGGAAGGATAGAAGAAGAGAGGAGGAAGAGGAGGAGGAAGGAGGACGAGGAACCAACTCCTACCTGCGACTGGCAGGACAGAGTGCAGACTCAAAGATGGTGAAGTATGGGTTGAGGCGACACAGAGGAAGATCGGATTTGGAGACTCCCTCCTCTCTCATCCCTGCTCGTCCTCACCTCTCCTGCAGCCCACCGTTCGTCCTCGGGAGGACACGAGCCTTCTTGGCAGCGAGCATGAGGCGAAGATTCTGAACCCAGCCAACGACGTGCTCAAGCCACCTGCGACATGGACAAGTCCTTCTCCTGCGACCTCATGCATGAAGAGCAGAACCTGACATGCTCCCACGTCTGCATCCAGGTGCTCCCCCCCCCCCTTCCCCCTCTTCCCTCCTTGCTCCTGCTCCCTCCTGCACCTCCTGCACCTCCTCCTGCTTCTCCTGCTCCTCCCTCCTCCTGCTCCTGCTCCTCTTCCTGATCCTGCTCTCGGTCCCTCTCTCGGTCCCGCACACTCTCTCGCTCGTGCTCCTTCACTTGCTTTCGATGCCGTCCCTCCCCTCTCTCTTCTCCTCTTCCCCTTCCTTGCTGATGACCTCTACCTTACAGAGTGCTCTTCTCTACACAACCTCGGACGGCGAGAGGAGGATACGCGTTCATAACCTCAACGTCCCCGTCACGCAGGTCAACCTCCTTCCTCCTCCTCCTGCGATCGTTTGCCTGACTCTTTCTCCTCCCCCCTGCTACTGCCCCTCCTACAACAGAACTTCGTGGACCTCTACAGCACCATCGATGTGCCCACTACCATGAACTCTCTCCTCAAGTCTGCGGTCGAGCAGGTTAGCCCCTAGGTGTTTGCAATGGAGTTGATACTGACTCCTCCTCCTCCTCCTCCTCCTCCTCCTCCTCCTCCTCCTCCTCCTCCTCCTCCTCTCATTTCCTCGCACCCTCCTCTTCCTCATCAGGCGCAGAACACCAAGCTGATTGATGCTCGAAGCAAGATTCAGAGCGCTTGCGTGCAGTCCCTCCGAGCTCATCGGTTGATGTGAGTCCTCCTGCTTGTACTGCTCCTCCTCTCCTCGTCCCCTTGTCTTGTTCTTGTGACCTCCCCTCCCCTCTCCTCCTCTTGCTCTTGCTCTTGCTCTTGCTCTTGCTCTTGCTCTTGCTCTTGCTCTTGCTCTTGCTCTTGCTCTTGCTCT